ACTTGAACGACTGTCTGTGTTAACATTTGAATACAAAGCAAACACTTATAAGTTAGGTGCTTGGGAGCTTGGGTTGTATTCTAGGAAGTGCTTATTATACTTTGAGAGTTGAGCTTTTCTTTGTCACGTACTTAAGCTTGTTTTTGATGTGAACGTTGATTCAGAGTCTTATCCTATCTAGAGTCCTGTTAGCTCCTCAGTAATGCTGTAACAAAATATGTGGCTTAACAGTAACATCAGTGAGCAGTAATGGCTTCATAGAAGACTTTGGAAACAATGAGAGAAGAGGAATCTTAAGCAACAAATAGATTTTGTGCTCCATAGTGTGCCTTAACATGGTGACTTCACAGCTGCTTTTATATCCTGAACGCAGGGCAAAAATGCTGTTCTAGAGAAACGATAACTGAACAGAAATTAAAGATGCATCAGGAGCAAACACTCCATAGCAAAGGCTTATCCCAGTGCAAAAATATTGCAAGTTAGTAAACAACAAAAAAAGACTAAATGAAAATGTCTCTGTAGCACATGTAGAACAGTGGAAGTAAGTTGCAGATAAGATGGTTTACACTTCTTGACGAGGGAAGTATCATGCCTTTTCTGGAGAAAACATAAATATTGGCCAGAAAATAACATAAACCACTGATACCACTGAAGCATGTTTTTTTTAATGAAGAGCAAGTGGAACCAAGTCTGCAGAGTATCAGTGTTGCCCCATTCAGTAAGTCATGCCTACAATTTAACCTCTAGTAAAGCTAATTATCCTTATAAAGGAGACAGACTAACTAGACAAACAGTTCTGCTATAGTTAAATTAGTCAGTTCCCTCGCAGATGATACAAAAAACCAAAAATATGTGGTTTAAGATGCAAAACTGCATGTAAGTATACCCTGTGAACATCACTTCTACTGTATCTTTAATGTAATACTTAAGATTTGGCTTCAGTTTGTTATTATGTGGCTTCAGTTAAGTATGCAATAAGGCAATTAGGAAATGACAAATGATAAACATCTTCAAATTCCAAACTAGTTCAAGCTCCAAAAAGAAAAGACTGCATCTGAAGAAAACCAATTATTTTAGTCCTTGAAATCTTACAGGACAGATCTCTTAACAGAAATATCAGAATCTGGTAACTAATTTTTTTTTTTTTAATTAAAGCAAGGCTTTTTTTTTTTTTTTAGGGAGCTCCAGAAAAGTCTTCTTTGTCTTATTATCAACTCTAGGTATGCCATGACACCATGCCTAAAAAATCATTTCCTAACTGTATGTATACAGTATAATGCTTACTGAACAGATTACCTTCTGCTTTTCTGCTGTGGTCTTGTAAAAGTCAGTGTTCTCTGTCCATCAATAAATGTATCTTCATAAACCCTTGAGGGGTGTTAAATTCCTATGAAAATATTGGGGCTAAATGCTGCACTGGTACAGTGCTCAATCGGAGATCTGCTGTTACTGTGCAGTCTGAACTTTTAACACTCATTATCATTTGATCCTCATTGCTCCTATCATTCAATTACAACAATGAATGATTAGCACTCCTGAAAATCAGCCCCATGCTGTTTTCAAGTACTCAGGAAATGAAAACTATAAGGACCACCCATGAAAAGTTTGGGTCAAGTGATTTGCCTTGTATCATAAACTCAGTGGTAAGAGCTGAAATAAATAGTTCTCCACAGAGGTTTTTCTCATGCTGAATGATACTCTCACAATCTGCATTCCTGATCTCCTTAACTAACCTACTTGGGGGAGGGGGGAAATCTCTGATCCAGAGTTTGCTCACCACAGACTTTAATTCCTTATAAACTTCTGGCCTTTAGGAAACCTCACTATTGAGACTAGTGCCATGATTTATATACCCTCCCTTGAGCAGGTGCTTTACCTTCTAAGTAAATTCTAACAGCTTAATGTGCCTATGCAAGATAGCTTCAAAATGTAGTAAGTTCTATATTACTGCGGCTTATCAGTAAGTGGGGATTTTTAAATTCATGATGGAGAGATCAGTTTATGTGCTTCAGCTGGGGTGAAAGCATGGTCTGTGCCACTGGCTTTTAGTGTTGACAGCAGAGGAATGGTGATACACTGAATTTTTGTTGTCTGCTACAAGCTGAGAGTGTGAAATAATGGATAGAGAAACCTGTGTTGCCTTACCCTTTTATCCCAGGTCTTGAGCCCCAAGGGAGATTACATGGAGATTTACTGGTTCTCTAAACCAGTCAAACTTAAAAGCCGTATTTCTTGTAGGTTACACACAGTATAGTGAAAAACAGAAGTGAAACAGTGGCTTACATCTTTTTCTAAAAAGGCTGGTTTGTGACTGGTTCAGTTGACAAACAAGGACCTAACATAAAGCCATTGAGTCACTTCTATATGTTGAAAATATCTTCTCTGCTCCTCAAGTTAAAAGTGGAGGGAAAAGAACTTCAGCTGAACTGTAATATCCCAACACAAGATTCCCTGCTTACTTAGACCATTCCTCTGTGTTTGTTTTTTGTAACTTTATTAGAATTTAAAAGAACACTTACAGATGAGACTGTTCACAAGTGAAGGCAGGGTGCAAACTCACAGCAATGCAACACTTGATATTGTACATGAGCTGATTTGACTGCCCTGAGAGGGGTATTTTCTGTCTTACTCCCAACTCATTCTGGCACTTCTAACTTCATGGTCAGACAGATGTAGAGCTGAGCTAGCTTGACATTCTGGTTGCTAGTTAAGCGTTTGGGTGGTTAGCTTTATTGTTCAGCTGTAACTTGGCTCCTGGAGATCAGACAAGCATCTGAGCTAGCAGAGCACTGTATGCCCAGGGTGCCCATTTAGGCCTTGATGGATGTGGCCACGAGGCATCCCTAGGTTCAGCTCCTTGCTTTCTGTGAAACCATGACCTTCGCTCCTTTGCTGTAGCAGGCTCAGGTATCCAGGACCTGCTCCTCCAGTGAGGCTCACTTCGAACAGAGGTGGGACAAGGCAGATCTCCCTCACCACAAACCAGCGGCAGTTCAGCTCAGTGACCTGTGTGAATATCAACTACAGGAAGACCTATAACGCGGACAGAAACTAGATGTCATTGTATGTCACCTCCATTGGCCTTGGACAACATCGAAACGACCCGAGGTGGCAGGCAGCTCCTGGTGGGGACCCGCAGCTGTGCGAGCCCCCGGCTGAGGCCCACCTCTGGAAGGCGGAGCCCGAGGAGCCTCCCGGGCGAGCTGCCCTCAGCCCTCACGCGGCTGCCGGACCCCGGGCCCTTC